GCCCTGCGGATTCTTGGGTCTGAGTTGGCTTCACTGATAATCGATTATCACATAGGCAATAATCGATTATCAGGGCTCTCTGAACTTAGGACTTCCCGAACAAACCAACTTGACAATCGATTTTCATAAGGTGACAATCGACTATCACAGTCTGCAGGACTTTGGGGACAGAAGCTGCACAGCATGATAATCGATTATCAACAATAGACAATCGATTATCAGCCAGTTCTGAACCTAAGGCCATCATGTTGAACAAATTGTTTTCATACGGAATCAAACATATATGTATGCGTTGAATTTAATTTCATTCTTCAATCAATGCATTCAATTCATCATGTTCGTCCTAGACGCATGTCCTAGGGTCATCATCATGTGCATACCGCTGTAGGGAGGTCAGGCTTTCGTGCGCCTACTACAGTGGGCCCGTCCAGGAACCTTTGGGATCCAACGGGTTTTCATCAGGTGGGCTTGTGTACGTACATGGTAGTCAGGCTACGGCTACCACCCAGTTTTGCTAGTTCACTTGCGACGTTTTGTCGAGCCCGGGTCATTACCGGAGTGCAGGGGTGATCCTGTCAAGTGAGACTAAGTCAGGGGTGTCCCTAATAACTTAAGTCATGCATCAAGTCATATTGTCATCATGTATGTTTCATGTCACGTCAACATTCAATGTGGTTGTTATTAATTTTGTTATGTGTAACAATATCCCATCAAGTGCAAATTAATCAGTTAACAAACATGTGGTTTTCCGTACGTTAAGTACAGGTATTTATGTGTGTATATCCATATGGGTTATCACTTCATGTTCTTTTGTTAGATTCACTCCTCAGCTTTTGCTGAGCGTGTAGTTGTTTTTGCTACACGCAGGTAGACATGACGGTACAGGTGCTAACCCTAGAGGACAATGATGGTGGGAAGATGGGCGGTGCATGGACAAGTTCAATAATTAAATACATTTAATTAATTAATCATTTGGGCATGAACCCACCATATGTCGTTTTATTTATTTTGGACTTATGAATTTACTTCCGCTTTTACTCTGCATTTAAATCACACACGTTTTGAAATTAATTCCCTAGCATTTATTTCACCAATTAAACTCAACCATTTCCATAATAAATAGTCATTAATGCATTTTCCTCTACGGACGGTTCTCGGACCGCCCATGTAACCCTACTGGTCCGTTGAGTCGCGGTGAACCGGGTCCACGGAAGGCGGGTGTTACATTTTATCTTCATTTGATCATCAAAATAAAGTCTTTACCCTCCTTTTTAACCTTGGACGAAAATGAGGATCAAAAAGACAATCCTTGTGTGTTATTTTCTACTCCTTTTGCTCCTTTCATTAAGTAAGACATTCCCCTTATTTTTCCTACACCTTCCCCACGAAATTCCAGCCCCTTTTTGTTCCTAAAATCCAACAAAATCACCACTTACAACAAAGTAACAAAAATCAATCAAAAGTCATAAAGTGGAATAGTAATTTCTTGTCTTTTCTTGACTATTTCCACACCAGACCATTTAATGACCTTTCTTGGTTCCTTCTTGCACTATAGGCCGAAATATACTCCTCAAAATAAGCCAAGGAATGCTTCATCACAGCCACATAATGTCCTTGACTTAATCCACATATGGCCGAAATCCTTATGCAAGAAAAGGCCAAACAAATCCCCTTCCATTGTTCTTAAAGTTAGCACATTTGGATTGTAATAGTTTAGTGTTAATCATGTGGTAGGAAGCTGCCTTGAAAGTGTTGTATTTCCCCTATAAATATTTGGTCTCATGGCCATTGTAAAACCAGATTATTGAATGAAAAGTTTGTGTTAGTCTTTGAGTAATTTCATTAAAATAGTGTGAAGCTATTTTAACCAAATTTCCTAATGAAATATCTCTAAAGTTGGCTACTTTTGAGTGCATGTTAGGAGTCTATTTTATACATTAGTACTGATTATTATTGTGTGAAATAGATAACAGCCCCAAATATAGTAAGAGTGTGTTTATCTCTTATTCATTATTTGGTTTATCCATCCTTGTTTTCTACCCATTTCGTTCTTCTCCTTTTTCTCTTCCCAAAGCACATTCTATTCTATCTTCACAAATCAAAATACCAAAAAAGAACTCCTTCATCACATCCATTTTCCACCCAGCCATTTCAAACAATCGATTATCACTCAAGTAATAATCGACTATCGGACATCTCTGAACATTCGTGGTTTCAAATTCATATCTTGTTAATCGATTATCAGAGAGTGATAATCGACTATCACAAGCTTCTGAACTTTGGAGTTCAAAGTTGTTTCCTTCTTGCTTCCATTTCCTTCATAAATCCACCATCAAATTAATTGCTTGATAAGACTCCGGGTCTCTGGTACAACACCTGGTACGAACCACCTTACTCCCGTGACTACACTTTGTTTGCTGAAGAACAAATTGAAGCAAACAAGGTGGCATTTCGAGAAAGAGCAAAACTTCTTGAATCAGTCCGGAAGGAAAACGAAATCGAAAGGCTGATGAATTAGTCAATGATCTCTGTAAGGCTATTGAGCTTAAACGCTCCCTCCAATCTCAAGATCAAATGAGGGAGGTTAGTGCTCAAAAAGGGGTTTAGAACCTAATACCAAATCTTAAACTTTCAACCATCAAGTCTCGGTTCTAGAAGATTCACCTACTTCAACACCATCACATAAACTCGAGAGCATAACAACTCTCGCTAGGGCTACTGTGCTGATGTTACCTGAATGTCCCCCTAGCCAAGTCCCAACCAGCATAGTCGTACATGAGGTGGAACCAACTAAGGGACCTGACTCAGAACCACCTATGCTTATTCAAGAACAGAAGGAGGAGGAAGTTTTCCTATGGCAATAAGCGACCATCTCCTTAATTGTGTTGAAGACACACCTCGAGAGGAACCTATTTTGGAGGAGATAGAGCCCACTACCTACCCCCAAGTTCAAGAGTCTGAGGAGGAATCTATAGACGAGGAAATACTGTGCATGGACAAACCAACATCGTCTATAGAAACCTGCGCAAATAATAATTCATCAGAAGATTCAGACCAAACTTTCTTTGATTCCCTACTTGACGGGTATGACTATGTCTGCCCGAAGGATGGTTGGAACTTAAAGAGTTGGGATGAACTTCTGGTAAGTGATGACGAGGACTCTTCCATGGGGGAAGGCATGGTCGTAATCATTCAGCCACAAACAGATAGTTAGCCTGTTGAAGACAAGGAAGAAATCAATCTTGCTATGAAGGCAAATGATGTGGATCAACTGAGGAGACTTCCGCCACCACCCACCTCTCTAGAGTCTCCTCCATATATCATGTTGCCACCAAGCCGCAGGGATGAGTCAAGGATTCTGGACCTTGACCAAACAAAACATCAAACAGGATGGCATTAGAAGAGAGTCAGAAGGGCTAAACTTTATGACTCTCGGATCAGGAAGTCGCGGAAAAAGTGGGTGAGCGTCAAGCTACGGACGTTAAAGAAGCGCTTAACTGGAGGCAACCCGTCATTCAATTAACTAAAATATTTAAATAAATTTATTTTATTTGTTTTTACTTGCCGCATCAGTTGGGGGCAAGGTTTTACTCGTTTTTGTTTTTCTATTCTACAGATGGATGTTGCTTGGATGATTCTGCATGGAAACCGCCGCACATTACAGAATCTGGAAGAGCTCCCCTTGCACTCAGAGGAAGCGAAGAAGAAGTTTCTCACTTGGGGAAACACGAAGATGCTCCAGTGCATATCTGGACGAACAAGGGCGCAGGACATTGATGACCTACTGTACGACCCAAAATGGAGAATTCTTCTATTCTTGCATGCACTAGCCAGCTTGGAAGCCACCATCGAGTTTCTTTGTTCCCTCCGCTTCCTCAATAACGGAGAGGAGGCAACGTCATCGGGCGAAGTCATCTCCACCACAAAGGTCACGTTTACTTTATGGGTCGACCGCTGAACCTAACTGTGGCAGACTTAGGGTGGTTGATTGGTCTTTACACGCTCGATGAAACGAGGAGCCTGGCTTTTGCCGATCTGCCCGACCAGTTGGACCCAGAATTCGATGTTAAGAAGTTCTGGCAAGCTCACGGGCATGGACGATTTCGCAGTGGAGCAAGCTTAGCTAGGAACTGGGCACGTCCGTCTTGGAGGATTTTGCACCATGCATTGGCTCACAGCTATTTCTGTCACTCTCAAGAACCTGACGTGGTGTTTGAGTCCGATATGCTATTTTTCTAGAGTCTGGAAGCACGCGTACCAGTCAATTTAGCAACCTTTGTGGCTCGATTCGTGTTTGCTCAGTCTACTTGCGACCGCCAGTTTGTCTTGTGTGGGCCAATGGTTACGCTCCTGGCCCGGGGATTACGTATGTCAGTTCCCAATGTTCTCCTAGAAGCTGCAAGCATGTTCCGACCACTGACAGGGTATTTGGCCCAGATTGCCTATAATAAGGAAGATAAGGAGGCACGTCCAAGGCGGCATCATACCATTCCTATTTCTCTTTGCGAGCTTTCACAGGCTATGTTTGCATTCCAGGATTCCGTGGACTCTCGTTTGAGGAGCATAGAGACGCTCCTTCTCACGTAGCAATGGCAGGTGGAGGAAATACTTGACTACATCTGAGAACAAGGAGCAAAGAAAATGGAGCATGAGGCAGGTCCTAAGTAATTGCATGTGAGCTTTTCAACTAGTAACTCCGATTCAAAAATACTCTTAACCACGATGGCATGGTTCCGTTTAAGTGTGAGGAGGCAAGAGTTTCTGGTTGAAATGATCTTTTTAGGAATTGTTTTGTGTATGTATTGTTAGGAGAAGATTTTATAAATAGCCATCAATTTTATTTGTTTGATTAATTAATCTTTAGTTATCACCCGTAAAAATTGGAAATTTTTAAATTTTTTGTCAAATTTCTATTTTTACTCTAACCTTTTTGGGAATGGTTTTCTAAAAATGATTTGGGATAAATTCACAATTGACTAAGAGTTTTTTAGGATCAATCAATTTTTGATTGCTTTATTGAAAATCTTTTTGCAAATACTCATCTATCTTTCGGGCTATGAGTACTTGTTGGTTCTTAAAAAAGAAAAGAATATAAGTGGTGATTTTTCAAAGCATACTTTGGTGAGACCGAGATTCTTGTTTTAGCCAAAAAGCAGTTGGTTCTAGGTCAACTGATGAGGCATGGTGAGGATGCCGAAAAGCACGTGGTTCTATATGGCGTGATGAGGCCTTTTGAGTGGTTGAGTCAAAAAGCATGCGATTCTATGTCGTGTGATGAGACTTCCCAGAATGAATGTCCAAAAAGCCCGTGGTTCTATGTCACGGGATGAGGTTATAAATTTTTCTCGTGTCAACATGACAAAGTTATGCCAAGGAAAATTAAACCCTTACATTTTGAAAAATACTTTTGCAAAAGCATGTTTTCCAATTTAGCCATTAAAAAATTATTTGATCTTTAAAGTACTCTTACAAATGTAGTTATCCCAAAGAAAGTTTGGAAAATTTCGGTTGTTTAGGTTGGTGTAAAAATATTGGTTTGACAGAATTCTTTTACATTTCTAACAGTATGGGTGAAAATCTGAAGGTTCATTTCTTCTTAACAAAAAGTTGATGACTATCTTATTTCTTCTTTCCTTCATCATATGTAGCTTAAACCTTTCCTCTGTGATTACTAATTTGCTTCCATACTTGTAATTATTCACTTTGTTGCTTGAGGGCAAGCAACGTTTAAGTGTGAGGAATTTGATGAGTTCGTTTCGTTCTTATCATTTACATCATATTCTAAACGTTATTGCACGTAAATAACATCTAATCATTTTATAAAATATGATTTCGGTGAATAAAACTCCCATTTTCGTTCTAAGAGTCATAAAAAAGGATTCCACTTGAAATCATTATAAATCATCCATTTTATATTCAACTACTTGAGAAAAAGCGAATAAATCATCAAAGGATCAAGATTCGGGCTTGAACGAGCTTCCGGGAAGGTAAAATCGACGTTCGGGGCGAAAACCAGCGAAATTGGGCCAAGATCTCGCATCAGTCGCGAAGCCCAAATGGACCAGGGCATAAGGCGTCCAACTTGGACGCTTGGGAGTTGGACACCTTGGCTGGATTGCAGTCCAAGATAGACACGTGGCGAAATCTGGTTGGCCGGAGTAGCTCAAGCGTCCCGATCTGGACGCCTGGACTTGGACGCTTCTACTTGGACGCCTCGGCCTTTGTCCTATAAATACAGCGCGATTCTCCACATTCAAACCATCACTTTCACTCCCATTCTCGGGATTTGAGCTTTATATTGCAATTTCAAGCTGTAGTTTAGCATTCTAGTAGTTTAGAATAATTTTTGGAGAAATTCTACTCCCGATCTGTTCAAATCCTCTTGTACGGAAGTTGTAAGTTTTCTTTATTTAATAAAATGTTTTTTTAATTTATGTTTGCATAGTATGAGTTAGGGGCCTGATCTCTGGGTCCGGACTAGTTTGGTTATATATTTTTGAATGTTAAATTAATGTTGGAATAGTTAGTCAATTGCTCTTGCCTTATTTAGTTAATTAATCTCAAAAGATTTAATTAACTTTTTATTGAGAAAATATTGTTTGCCCAAGGGCTATGATATTCAAGTACAATGGATTAAGTACAAATCTAGAAATGGATGAGTAGTAATAGAAATATTATTATTCCAGTTGTTAATTTAATATGATAAAATGGATCCAAATGATGTCCAGACCCTAGGGGTCCAGATCTATACTTATACTATGTGAAATTTGTTTATTATTTTTACTTTGCTGTTTTTATAATCGTTCCGAGAAGACTTTCATAAACCAATCCTAATCTTCGCCTAGTTAGAGTAATTAGACTAATTCCCTTCGTCCACTCCTCGAGAGACACGACACTCGGAGAGAAAACTAACCCTTTACTCGGAAGGTTTACTACCCGAAAAACTACGATTGTCATTAGGTTCAAGCTCAAGGTAGAAGAGGGTATGGCTTTGGCCGAATGGAGTGAGGGAAAAGGGTGATACTTAGGAGTTTATTTGGCTGGGAATATGTAAAGGGAAGGAGGTGTTTTTAGGGGTTGATGGTTGGGGCCAAAATGGAAGCAAAGGAGAGAGTGTTTTAGGCATGTTTTTGAGTGAAAATAGAAGAGGAGAAGGTGATATTTAGGGTAGACAAAATGGGGAGGCCGAAAAGGAGGAAGAGGAGGATAGAGTTCTTTTGTGATTTTATTTTAAGGGGGGATAAACCAAGTTAGTGTTAGGAGATATTACACACTCTTAGCTTAACTTGGGATTGAGTCTAGTATCCAAATAAGATATTACACACTTATTCAAATGACTAAAACTTAAAACTCACACTTAAGAAAACCACAATCAAGATATAGATTTAGGAATTTAAATAGCAAGCACCATAAGTGTATTACTAAAGAAAAGAAGAGTACATTACATGCATTGCAAAGGCCCTAGGCCGAAATATATATATATATATATATATATATACACACACACACACACACACACACACAAATAAGGGGAGTTATTAACCAGATCATTCACACAATCTTTAAAGAAATAACAACCATTAATTAATGTCCTTTTGGTAGGGAGAATTTAGAGATGGGGCTGGGTTTGTTGGGGTGGAGTTTCAGCCTTTAGCGTATGGAAGTGTTTATGTGAATAATACTCATACTTTGATAGGTTCTTAGGTGATGTACGTTCATGCAAATGGGGGCAAAAGAGAGAGGGGATTGGCTATTGTTTTGGATGTGCCTCTTGGGTTATATGTGGGGAACAAAAGGGAGTTGATTGGGTTGGTGGTGGGTCAGAGCTGTGCAGCCTTGTTGGGGAACATGAGGGGGTACATGGGCAGGTCTATATTATATGGAATAAGAGAGGAGTTTTTGCTGGTAATGGTAGGTTTATTGTGTGAAATACGGGAGGGGTTTTGGCTTGGTGTCTTTGGATCTCATATGGAAAAATGAAGTGAATTGTTTTGTAACGCCCCGAATTTAGGCCTAAAAGAATTAATTAATTTAAATATTAATTTATGACTAAGACAGACCCAAACACTGAAAAATAAAAGTTTTCAAAAAAATATTTTAATTATATCAAAATTTTAGTTTTGACAGTCTGATTCCAAATGTGCGATTCATTTTCAATTCAGAACAGTTTGGGTGAAAAAGCGCGTACCGTTTTAGTCAGTTTATCAGTTACGGAGTAGGAGAATAATTTTGATTCCCCAAAACCTCCAAGTCACGTAGAGACATCCCCATACCTTCCAATCCTCAATCAAACCAACCCCACTATCACAGACCTCCAATTTACTTTTTCCTATATTATCACCCTACCACCACCATCATCATCCTCATACATTATCACCATCATCCATCCATCATTCATCTCCTCCCCATTCTCTCTCTGTCGGAAGCAACTCAGGAGGAACAAAACACAAAAATACTCCATAGTTGAGCCAAGAAAGAAGAAGGAGAAACAAGATGAAGTGTCAAGGTTTCCACATTTTGAGTCCAAAACGCAGCAGCGACTTTATCGTCAATTCTGTAATTTTCTATCCTTTTTCTCAAAATATTTTTTATACCAAAATCATAGCCCCGGATGTTACAAATCCAACCCAACAAACGGTTCGTGATTTCGTTAAGTAACGAAGGAGATATGGCCAAAATACCGGGACTGCTCCAGTGGTGGCGAGCTCCTCGAGTTGGCCATGTTTCTTCATCATTTTCACATCGTTTCTTCCAAATACTTACCGTTAACTCTCTCGTGGTTATTAGGAACTTCCGGAGATTATTTCGAAGAAGATTGGGCGTCGGAAGCTCGAAGTTGATAGGGGTGACCGTACGTTGAACGTTCGTTGAGGCGTATTATTTTCTTTCCATCATTTCCGACCTCTACGATATCAAGGCGAGTACACTGCACCCTAGTAACGCAATCCTTGGTTGAATATCAATCCGTGCGTCGTTGATTTTGGAAACAATTGGGAAAAATATCTTCCTCTGATGGAATTTGTATATAACAATAGTTATCAGGCAAGTATTGAAATGGCTCCGTATGAGGCACTGTACGGAAGGAAATGTCGAACATTAGTTTGTTGGACTGAATTGAGTGAGAGAAAACTCGAAGGTCCAGAACTAGTGCGCGAAACAGAGGAAAAGGTTCAGTTGATCAGAGAATGACTTTAGATAGCAGCAGACACACAGAAATCTTATGCAGACCTCAAGCGACGCGACATCGAATATGCTGTTGGTGATAGGGTATTCTTGAAAGTTTCTCCTTGGAAGAAGGTTTTACGTTATGGCAAAAAGGGAAAACTCAGTCCAAGGTTTATAGGCCCATACAAATTACAGAACGTGTGGGACCTGTGGCCTACAGGTTGGAATTACCACCAGAGCTAAAACACGATTCATGATGTGTTTCATGTATCTATGTTGAGGAGATACAGATCAGATCCGTCTCACATTATTCCAACAAAGACTGTCACTTTGGACGAAAATCTTTCCTATGAAGAGGAACCGGTAGAGATTCTGGCACGAGAAGTTCGAGTATTGAGGAACAAAACTGTACCATTAGTCAAGGTGCTTTGGAGAAGTCACTCTGTCGAAGAAGCAACTTGGGAAACTGAGAAGTCCATGTGATCTCAATATCCGCAACTTTTCAGCGACCAGTGATCAGGTAATTTTGAGGACAAAATTATTTTAAGGCGGAGAGAATTGTAACGCCCCGAATTTAGGCCTAAAAGAATTAATTAATTTAAATATTAATTTATGACTGAGACACACCCAAACACTGAAAAATAAAAATTTTTAGAAAAATATTTTAATAATATCAAAATTTTTGTTTTGACAGTCTGATTCCAAATGTGCGATTCATTTTCAATACATACATACATACATACATACATACATACATATATATATATATATATATATATATATATATATATATATATATATATATATATATATATATATATATATAAATACACAAATAAGGGGAGTTACTAACCAGATCATTCACACAATCTTTAAAGAAATAACAACCATTAACTAATGTCCTTTTGGTATGGTAGGGAGAATTTAGAGATGGGGCTGGGTTTGTTGGGGTGGAGTTTCAGCCCTTAGCGTATGGAAATGTTTATGTGAATAATACTCATACTTTGATAGGTTCTTGGGTGATGTACTTTCATCCAAATGGGGGCAAAAGAGAGAGGGGATTGGCTATTGTTTTGTATGTGCCTCTTGGGTGATATGTGGGGAACAAAAGGGAGTTGATTGGGTTGGTGGTGGGTCAGGGCTGTGCAGCTTTGTTGGGGAACATGAGGGGGTACATGGGCAGATATATATTATATGGAATAAGAGAGGAGTTTTTGCTGGTAATTGTAGGTTTATTGTGTGAAATACGGGAGGGGTTTTGGCTTGGTGTCTTTGGATCTCATATGGGGGAATGAAGTGAGTTGTTTTGTAACGCCCCGAATTTAGGCCTAAAAGAATTAATTAATTTATATATTAATTTATGACTGAAACAGACCCAAACACTGAAAAATAAAAGTTTTTAGAAAAATATTTTAATTATATCAAAATTTTAGTTTTGACAGTCTGATTCCAAATGTGCGATTCATTTTCAATTCAGAACAGTTTGGGTGAAAAAGCGCGTACCGTTTTAGTCAGTTTATCAGTTACGGAGTAGGAGAATAATTTTGATTCCCCAAAACCTCCAAGTCACGTAGAGACATCCCCATCCCTTCCAATCCTCAATCAAACCAACCCCACTATCACATACCTCCAATTTACTTTTTCCTATATTATCACCCTACCACCACCACCATCATCCTCATACATTATCACCATCATCCATCCATCATTCATCCCCTCCCCACTCTCTCTCTGTCGGCAGAAACTCAGGAGGAAGAAAACAAAAAAATACTCCATAGTTGAGCCAAGAAAGAAGAAAGAGAAACAAGAAGAAGTGTCAAGGTTTCCAAATCTTGAGTCCAAAACGCAGCAGCGACTTCATCGTCAATTCTGTAATTTTCTATCCTTGAAACATTTATTATGCCAAAATCGTAGCCCCGGACGTTACGAATCCAACCCAACAAACGGTTTGTTATTTCGTTAAGTAACGCAAGAGATATGGCCAAAATACCGGGACTGCTCCAGTGGTGGCGAGTGTTAGACAAATGTGCAACTCTAGAGGGGGGGGGGTGAATAGAGTTGTTCTCAAGAATGTGCCTTTTTCGCGTGTGTGAAATAATAGAATCGCAAGAATAAATAAAGAGAGTAAGGAAAAGAAGAACACCGAGATTTATACTGGTTCACCACCTCGTGGCTAATCCAGTCTTCCGAGAGACTCTCTCGAAAGTCCTACTAATCTTCAAGCTTCAACGGGTGCTTGAAAAACCGGTACAACTTGAGAACTTGAATCACACAAGCCTCACTTTCTTACAACAACAAGACTTGAGTCACACAAGTCTTAAGAACAACACTCAAAAGAGATTGAGTTTACAACACAAGAATGAAAGCTCACACAATTGAGCAAAGTAGTGTTGAAGAATTTAAGCTCTATGGATGACAACTTCTTTAGCACTCAAAGAAAATATTTCTAACTCTCAAAAATAATATTTTGATGAGGAAGATGAAGCAAAGGATGAATATAGCTCAAAGAATATATTGGAGTGCAAGAGGTGTGTATAGAAATGAAGGAGAATGAGGGATTAAATAGGCTGAGGAAAATAAAGCCGTTGAAGAAAGCTGATGATATGCACCACACAGAATTAATCGATTAAATTAGGAATTTTAATCGATTAAAGTGTACATAAGAGAGAAAAATCGATTATTCTGCTCTGTTTAAACTAATCGATAAAATGGACAAATTTAATCGATTAAGTCTATTGGCCTGAGGAATCCAGCGCTGAGAAATTGGATCTAATCGATTATTTTAGATAAATTAATCGATTAAAGTGAAAAATAATGCGTAAACATGAAGGGCCCAAGCCAAGTGCGATGAGAAGGGCATTGGCTTTATATTCGTTGTTTGAGACAACGAGAATAACAAGAACGCTCCTCAAAAATAATATCCCTTATTCAATGATTTTGAATAGGGGAGAAAAAGTGAGTCCAAAAAATAAGTTTGTGTGTCAAACGATGTATACGAAAAATATTTAGAGTATATTTTTCTTACCAAAAAAAGTGCAATCTTAAAAGAATGTTTTTAAGAAATTTTGACACACTTATTTTGAAACTAACTCAATAAAATATTTTAGACAGAAGAAAAGTAATTTTTCAACTGACTCAAAAATAATAATTTTATCCCTCAGAAATTTAATTTGTTTGTGCAGAAGATATTGTCATCCTTACAAATATTCCTAGACTAAAAAAAATCTTCGGAGTCTTCACTTGACTTCAAAAAAATCTGCGTAGGGGTGGTCGTCGATTTATATCGCCTTAAACTTCTTGATACCCTTCTTTGCTTTTCTCGATACGAAAATAAATTTTCGACCAGCTTGAAATTAATCATCCTGTTTGTCATTCATCAAAACAAGAAAAATATTCCAGAAGAAATAGAAAAAGGGGTTTGAACTCATGTCCAACAACTTCCCCCTTTTTGATAATGACAAACATAGTTGAGAAAGAGCAAAGTAAGAGTTCAGAGATTACTTCCTTTTAAGAATAATTCCCCCTGCAAGGTTAGAGAAGTGCAGTAAAAATAATCATCGGAGTAATAAGCGGAAAAAAAAATTTCTCAACTATCCTTCCTTCCCCCTTTTGGCATTATCAACCGATAACCTTCCCCCTTAAACAATGCCGGGATAATGAAGGAAAAAAATGGCAAGAGTTTTCTTTAAAAGAGAACTCTTAAAAAATGCCACAAAGGGACAATATGTTCTAAATAAGAACAATATTGCCAAACCAACAATGATATTAATACACAAGCAGTTAATATCAACTAGCATCAACGAAAGGAAACATCATCATCCACCAAAAGAGTCGTAACAAATAACAATGTATCATAATCAGTCAAGAGGAAAAGAAAATAACAATCAAAGAGAGTTCACCGGACGAGCTCCTCCGCCAAAACTGTGACGCGGGCCACGGTAGGAGCGAGATTGCTCAAGACGAGTCATCCTCTCGTTGAGCTGACAAACGTCATCTCGGATGCATGTGAGAGTATCGAAGATCTTCTTCACCCAAGAAGGTTCCGGTGCTTCTTCTCTTGGACGAGTCCTCCGTTGACGAGTGACGCGCTCCGTTGCTCGACTTCCTCCGGCTTGAGATGACTCAGCTTGAGTCTCGTTTTGGCTCTCTTCTTCTTCTTCGGCGATTATCAGGTCCAGATTTGGTGCAGCATCGCCCTCCTCTCGATACACGATCCGGGAAAACTTAGCTTCAGTGATGAAACACGTCTTCTTGACCGGCACCTGAGTGTCCCGAGTAAAGTCTATTTTGCAATGAGCAAGGATATGCATAATGGGGATGGCAAAACGGAGATGGGAAAAACGAGTGCCATCGCTAAGTGCAACGATAAAGAAGTGAACCCAATCAAATTTGACATCGTTCAACAGGACGTGAAACAAACGAATATCGTCCTTGTTGACAACGCCATGGTTCGAATCACGGGGCAACAAAACATA